AGATATTGGATGTCTTGGAATGAATTGTGTCAATAGGTCTAATTGAAGAATTTGAATGAATTCTGACTATGTTGTTTCCCACCGGTCACTATTGTGACCGAGTATAAAACCTAATATTTCACTAACTTAACCAACATAAAATCAAAAAAGGCATAATGTTTGAGTGTTAGGGAGGTCTAAGGAGTAAAATGCATGTACTCAAGTTGCAAGAAAAAATTTGGGATTAAACGGGTTAAAGGTTAGTTATCGAGCATCTCAGTCGTGATGTAAGTGATGATGATGATGATCTCGGCTGGTTCTTGGTTTAAGACCATCAAGTTTCAGTCAAGCGGCAGCCTTCCGCTCTCTCTCCTGAATCAACACTGAAGTGATTAAACTGCAGTTCCTCCACTGGCCACTAGAGGCCGGCTGCAGAAGAGACTCAATCCCATAGACCCGCATGTTAAAATACCCAACTTTACAGCAGAATTAAACATGTTTACAGCCTGGTCCAAAAAGTGGTTTTGGTCTATATCGCTAATGTTGCCCTTCATGACGACTGTGAGGGGCGTGAATATTTTTATAACTCATCCGTTTAAATTATATTAAGTCTTAAAGTTCTGCATAATTAAGGGCGTGGCCACTTGAGTGACAGGTGGATTGCCGCTGATGTCACTACTAGCCGTTTGTCTGCTAGCGTTATATCACCTCAGCTAATCCGCCTCGCTGCACATGTTCGTTTATCCGGGAGTGGCGCTGCCAAGATGGCGACGGCCGGCTCCGCCCACTTTGGGCTTCACTACGTGTGATGTCACTAACACTACGCCCATATTTATTTACAGTATGGACTCAGTCTCTCTCTTTATTTGCTGCATGTGCGCTGCTGTCAGGTCAGTATCTGACCGTCACTGTGTTTGTGTGTGCAGTGTGTTTCCCTCTCCGGACCAGCAGGGCGGCGCCGCTCACGGCCCGTCAGTGTTGAACACGGGCGGCTCGCTGCCGGATCTGTCCAGTCTGCACTTCCCGTCTCCTCTTCCCACACCGCTGGACCCGGACGAGCCCGGATACCCGTCGCTCAGCACCGGGAACCTGACCTGCACCCTCACCCAGCTGGGCATCACCGGCTCCTTCCACTCCTCAGGTGCTGATGTCACTACAGGCTCAACATTTGAAGTGGATCAAAAAAGTTGATTAAAGTTGTCCTTTAACAAGAACGGATATTGTTCAAAATTCATGTCTAACTTTGATGAAAGGCTTTGATCCACTTCAATGTTGACGACTGTATATTATTGCACAGCTCTTCACCCTCGGTGCTGCTCGCGTGTCGGCGGTCAGAAACCACCGAATTTTTTCATTTCAATGAAATGAATGTGCTATATTTTAGTTCGATAATGTTTTTATTTTATTTAATATGTGTAATTTTCAAACTCATTCTGTTTTCAAACTCATTCAGATATTACAGTTTAATAAAATAAAATAAATAAAGTTGTCCTCCAAAGAGGGCTGCATCACACTCAACAGACCAGGAGGTGGGAGAAAAAAAAAATGTTGTAATTTTTTACGGGGGATTTTATGGTACTAAATTATATTTGCGCTGTATTTATCAACCATTTTTGAGCATAGACCTGAAATTTTAATTTCCTACTTAAACTGGTAAATCTTGAATGCTTTAGAGCGACAGACTGAAGTTTGATCTCTTCTCAAAGACGACACTCGGCAGATTATTGCTGAAGTGAAAAAAGTACAAAAAAAAGTTACAGAATTTGACCTTTATTGTTATTAAAATGCACAAAAATACCATTTGCAATTTTATATGAAATATATATTTTCAAAGACACATTTTACTCTAAAACTGCATGAAAATCTAAGCCGTAAATCTCAACAAGTGTGTGTTCCGCACGTGAGCTGATCTCTCAGTAAACGAGCGTTCAGTGAGTGTGTGTTCGGCTGCAGTTCCGCACGCTTCCACTAGAGGAAACTCTCATTCAATTACAATGCGCTCGTTTCCGAGTGGGACTATTTTTTCAGGACCATTTAACCTTTACCAAGTTGTGCACCATTCAGATCAAGTAAAAAATAATTTTTTTTTTTTTTTTCAGTTTTCAAAGAGCACCAGAGAGTCAAAGTTGTATATAAAGTGGAGCCATGATGTAGAGCAGCTCTAATGCTGGCGTTAATATAAACCACATGTGTCCTCAGGTCTGCTGCCGTCTCTGCAGGGCACGTCGAGTAGCCCCTCCCTCCAGTCGTCGCTTAGCAACCCCAACATCCAATCATCTCTCAGCAGTCACTCGTTCCCGAGCTCCGCCTCCCTGCACTCGTCGCTGAGCAACCCCTCCCTGCAGTCCTCGTTAAGCTCCTCCCCCTCTCTGAGGTCATCGCTCAGCAGCCAGTCGCTGCAGTCGTCCCTCAGTAGCTCCTCCCTCCAGTCGGCAGCCAGTAATCCCAGTAATCCCAGCTTCTCGGGCTCCTACGCTGCGCTCGCACCTGGACAGGTGCAGATGAACACGTCCCCCCGCAGACGAGCACAGCTGACCCCCGTGATCCTGCCTCAGGACACACGCCGACACCACCCCAAACAGTTCTCGCCCACCTCGTCCTCGCTCGGCTCCATCACACAGGTGAACACACACACACACACACTAACCCGAGCCCTAAACCTATCCAACACACACACACACACACACTAACCCGAGCCCTAAACCTATCCAACACACACACACACACACACACACACACACACACACTATCCCGACCCCGAAACCTATCCAACACACACACACACACACACTAACCCGACCCCTAAACCTATCCAACACACACGCACACGCACACACACTAACCCTACCCAACACACACACACACACACACTAACCCGACCCCTAAACCTATCCAACACACACGCACACGCACACACACTAACCCTACCCAACACACGCACACACACACACTAACCCTACCCAACACACACACACACTAACCCTACCCAACACACACACGGACACACACACACACTAACCCTACCCAACACACACACACTCACACTCACTAAACCTACCCATCACACTAAACTTTCTGTAAAATAATACAATATTGCCAAAGCTTGGAATGCATAGAATAATAATAAAAACATCAAAATAATAAAAGAAAATATTATAACATAAAAAATGTATATTCTTTCTCTCTCTCTCTCTGTGTGCTGGTGTGTGCGCTTGTGTGCGTGCGTGCGTGTGGTGTGTGTGTGTGTGTGCGTGTGTGTGTGTGTGCGTGTGTGTGTGTGTGCGTGTGTGTGTGTGTGTGTGTGTGCGTGTGTGTTTGTGTGGTGTGTGTGCGTGTGTGCGTGTGTGCGTGTGTGTGTGTGTGTGTGTGTGCGCTTGTGTGCGTGCGTGTGGTGTGTGTGGGTGTGTGTGTGTGTGTGTGTCAGGGAGTGGCTCTGGACACCAGTAAGCTGCTGGGGGATCAGAGGTCGTCTCAGTATTCTTTCGGGCAGCCGCAGCCGGTTCAGAAAGGTCTTGTTCCTGCGCAGACACACACACACACACACACGCTCCGGCCGTCATCACAGACCGCACAGCTTCATCTACACAACATGCAAAACCTGCACAAGACGCAGAACTTCCAGCTGCAGCGGCCCAACCAGAACCAGAGCCCGAGCGCGGGGAGTGTGTGTCCGGCGGACGCCCAGCGGGACGAGCAGAGCCGCATCAGCGAGCTGGACCTGTACAACGTGAGTCACAACACTCGCTATCGGCACTGGACCGGTCCATAAATATGACATCACTCCTTACTATAGTCAGCTTTATTTATACAGCGCTTTTACAGCACAGAGTTTCAGAGTAGCTTTACAGAGATAACAGGAGAACAATGCAACAGAGTGTGTGTCTAGAAGAGAAGAGCGTCTCAGTCCAGCTTAAGCGAGTTCAGTGATGCTTCATTTCTGCTGTAAAAAAGTTATTAATTTAGTTCATTCATATACACTCACCGGCCACTTTATTAGGTACCCCATGCATGCAAATTGTAGCCTCTTTTTCCTATTTGTAGTGGAGATGAGTGGTACCCGGTGGGGTCTTCTGCTGTTGTAGCCCATCCGCCTCAAGGTTGTGCGTGTTGTGGGTTCACAAATGCTTTGCTGCATACCTCGGTTGTAACGAGTGGTTATTTCAGTCACTGTTGCCCTTCTATCAGCTCGAACCAGTCTGGCCATTCTCCTCTGACCTCTGGCATCAACAAGGCATTTCCGCCCACAGAACTGCCGCTCACTGGATGTTTTTTCTTTTTCGGACCATTCTCTGTAAACCCTAGAGATGGTTGTGCGTGAAAATCCCAGTAGATTAGCAGTTTCTGAAATACTCAGACCAGCCCTTCTGGCACCAACAATCATGCCACGTTCAAAGTCACTCAAATCACCTTTCTTCCCCATACTGATGCTCGGTTTGAACTGCAGGAGATTGTCTTGACCATGTCTACATGCCTAAATGCACTGAGTTGCCGCCATGTGATTGGCTGCTTAGAAATTAAGTGTTAACGAGCAGTTGGACAGGTGTACCTAATATAGTGGCCGGTGAGTGTATATATGTATAGCCGCTCTGGAGAAAACCGTGATGTCATTATAAATTATTTATCTGCACATACAGTAATTTTTTTTAATGCTTTTCGGAAAGGCATTTCACTACGTTATACGTCGCAATAGAAAAAGTAAAGATAACTTCTTTCCTGCTGACTTTAATGCCTAATTATTCAGTTTGCACTGGTGCCACACTTCAGTTCTGGTTACATGAGGTGAAAACTGAAATAGCACTGGTCTAGACATGATGATACTCCACTAATGGAGGAGTGTGTGTGTGTGTGTGCGTGCGGTTACTCAGGACACCATGTTCCTGAACTCTCTGCTGGACGACCCGTACCTGGACCTGCAGTTAACCAGCCGCCAGAACCAGAACCTGAGTCTGAGCCAGCAGGTGAGACACTCACACACACACACACACACACACACACACACACACACACACACACACACACAC